CATGTGCTTTTAGGAAAATAAAAAACAGAACTCTCTTTGTCTAACACTCACAAACATTTCATGTCCTGCAGCTTGTTTGGATACATCATTCTCCATATGCTCATGTACTCGGCAAATATATACTTCTGGAGGCTATATAGAGTCAACTACACCTTCATCTTTGGTTTCAAGCAGGGAACTGAGTTAGGCTACAGAGACGTTTTCCTGGTGAGCACCGGTCTCGCGGTGCTTGCTTTCATCTGCTTCCTGCTAAATTTGCAGTTTGATATGGACTGGAAGATGAAAGCTAATAACACACTCCCTGAGGTTATTCCTTTGGGTTTAGTCACTGTAAGATGTGTTTCCACTATTTTACATTTTGTACGGTTGTTTAAGTATCTTTTGATGAGATTGAACAATTCTTTATGTTTGCAGATGGTTCTTTTCATACTCTTTTGTCCTCTCAACATCATATACCGCTCAAGTCGTGTATTCTTCCTTCGATCACTGCTTCACTGCATTTGTGCTCCTCTCTACGAGGTGAATGTTTTAAATTTTCATATAAGTATGTATATACCAGTCCCTAAAACAAACAACAGCAAAAGGTTCTTATCTTGATATTTTTTTTTTGTTTTTCATCATAGGTTACACTTCCAGATTTTTTCTTGGCAGACCACCTAACTAGTCAGGTTTTGTAACACTACTTGCATTACTTCGTTTTAACTATAATCAGCAAGATTGAGTAAACTGCTTTTATTTGTTTTGTTAAGTTCAGGTACAAGCTATAAGGAGTTTGGAGCTATTCATTTGCTACTATGGCTTAGGGGAATACATGCAGAGGCAAGAAAAGTGTCATAGTCATGGTGTTTACAATGCCTTCTACTTTGTCGTTGGAGTTATACCTTACTGGCTCCGCTTCCTCCAGGTAATCATCACACACACAACTCAAATCTCTTTCACTCACCAATTCTCTGACACATTTATATATTGCAGTGCATACGCAGATTATGCGAAGAAAAAGATTCAGTACACGGATACAATGCTCTGAAATACATGTTGACAATCATTGCAGTCATCATAAGGACAGCTTTTGAACTGAAAAAGGGACGAAACTGGATGATACTGGCTCTTGTAAGCTCAGGTGTTGCGATATGCATGAACACATTCTGGGACATTGTTATAGACTGGGGACTCCTCCGCAAGCATTCCAAGAACCCTTACCTGAGAGACAAACTACTTGTCCCACACAAAAGCGTCTATTTTGCAGCCATGGTAACTAAGTAACATTATACAATTATCAGAGAATCTCATATATGTAGTAGGGTAAAGAATCTTATGGTTTGAATATTTGTGAGTGCAGGTAGTAAATGTGATTCTAAGAGTGGCATGGATGCAGCTGGTTCTGGAGTTCAACTTGAAGTCCCTTCACAAAGTCGCTGTATCAACCATTATCTCATGTTTAGAGATTGTTCGTAGGGGAATGTGGAGTTTCTTCAGGTACATTACATGTTCTGTATACAAAAAAAAAGGTCCAAACTTTAATATATGGTTAGTAATGATGAGGTGTTAACTTTTCAGGTTGGAGAATGAGCATTTGAACAATGTTGGCAAATACAGAGCCTTCAAGTCGGTTCCACATCCTTTCCATTACTACGACGACGACCATGAAACTGATGACTGATCGATCAGCTAACACGAAAGTTCGTAGTTTTCTAATTTTCAATGTGTAAAGACCATATATATACATGACTCCGACGGAAAAAATAAGTGGAAATCAAAATCATGGACGAAGATTATAACGTTGTTTAAAAATGATCAAGATAATTCTTTTTGGTTAAACTTCGACCTAATAGAAAAACATATGTAACTCAATCTACAACAGTACTAGGGGTGTGGGTAGTAATAAAAGGACTGTAACAAAAGTTAAGTTATCATTTTAAAATTCACAAAAAAATGATGGAGAATGGATACAGACACCCAGTTAAATTTCTAAAATATGATTGGTCAGTACGCTGCAAAATTTAGGATATGACAATGAAAACATAGAGGGTAATTTCAAAAACACAAGAGCTTTAAACATAGCATAAATTAATAGTCTGACAAGGATAAAACACAGGCATTAGACAAAAAAATAAAAGAGAGAGACTGCCAACATAAAACAAAAGCAAAGATGAGTCTCCACATCTCAAACTTGGTCAGATTAGCATCCTCCTCAATTTCACCTGTAGAAGAAACATTCTGTTTCTGTAAGAATTGGCAATAATTCGCAAACGGAATTCCAAGCAGAAATGTAATAATAAAAAAAACTTACACTTGAGATCTGAGCAGGTAGAGAAATGCGTTTCCATTTGTGAAGTCGGGACATGCGTTTTCTTTTGCGCACAAGACTCGGTTGTTGCTGCTTGAGTTGCACTAAGCTTGGACGAAAAGAGGAAACAAGTGGGGGAAAAGCAGCTTTAAAGAGCTCGTTGGTAAGTATGAGGGAACGGTGTTCGAGTATGAGAGCTTCTCCGAGGTTGAAGGATGATTTGAAGTAGCCGTCTTGTCCAAACACAAAAGCAGTGTGAGCAGTATTGGTTCCGTCTATTTCAAACAAGACAGCAACTTTGTTTTCCTCATCAAGAAAGAAGCTCCCACCATTTGACGACGAGTAGAGCTGAAAACCGTAGCTTAACGTCCCAGTTTCCACTCGCAAAAACTTGCTCCACGACACACAGTCCGGGTCAACAGTGAGGGAAACCCAAATCTCAAAAAAGCCAGATTCATAACCACCAGACAGGACCGCAAGCTGCTCATCATCACGGAAGCTTGAGAGGGCCACAACGTCACCATTGAAACCATCGAAAGAGTCTTCAAAAGGAAAAGACAGGCGTGGCCCAAACCTCTCTTTGGCAAAATCAAAACAGACTAAGCAAGCTTTAATCTCGTTAAGCATGAGTCCAATAGGAGCATGGAATGTCTCAACACAATAATTAGCAAAAAAGTAGGTGTTTCCCTTGACAGACACGCCTCGCTGACTCGCATCTATCGACCACTCGGGTTTCAACACCTCGAAGACCCTCCATGAATTAGACCTAATTTCATAGATTTCGCACACCATCAGGCTGTAATCCTTCACACACCTCAGGATTTTGTGGTTACCGGAGTCCGAGTATCCGATCGCGTACCTGTCTGCTAAATTGAAACGTTCTCTCGGTTCGATACACCTTGTTTGACACAGATAAGGGTTCCACAACACCAGCTTCGAGTTGTCCTTACCCACGCATAACACCAACCCATCGCAGTGATATAACTTGGACACCTTCAACTCATTAAGCAGATCTACCTGCTTTAACGACACATCACCAAAACCTTCTTCGAACCTCAGAGAGTAGACCTTCTCATTCATCGTCACAAACTGATGCTGCGGCCCTGCTGCTGCTTCTTTACCCAAAACAACTCTGTTTTTGGTTAGAGCGTTCCATTCTTTGCAAGTAGATCGAACCGCCTTCAGTGATGTTATAGGAACCCTTGTCAGTATCTTCTCCCCAACCAATTTCTTCGGAAGATCGCTTATCCTCGTCGGCATCACTCTCGCCAGCAATTATTCAAAAATTAGGGTTTTCCTCAAAATCTGTATTGCCTTGGTCGTGTAGTATTTATGTCTCGTGCTATATAATTTCATTGTTTCCTAAATTATCTGTTAAAATATGTTAAATTGGCTTTAAAAAATCAATATATTAAGTAAACTAAAGAACCGATAAATTTATACTTAATTATTTACAGGAAAGCTCGACTCTCACTTTTTGATGGAAAATACTATGTTCTAGGCGGGAAAACTCAATTTTACAGGATTTTGTATTTTTAGTGACAAAATATTATTTGCGGTTTTGACGAGAAATTCAATTTTGTGATTTCAATAGAAAAAAACTCCAATTTTTAGTGCGATGGAAGAAAAATCAATTTATTTTATTTTGTTTACATAATCATGAGTTGTTAAAACATGTAAAGTTTTATTAAAACCGATATACAAACTTGTTATCCAAACTAATTATGTATACCAGCCATAACCATTGATTAAAATAGAATTGAATTTATACTAAACAAAAGAGGATTATGCATTGGTCCTGCATTTAATATATATATTATATTATTTTGAACCATACACGATATCAATATAAATATTTTGGATAAAATAATAGAAGTAAACTAGAAATATAATACTAAATATACATATATTCGATTATCTTCGGATATATTTTTGGGTTCAGATATTACCTGTCCGAATTCGGGTATCTAGTCTTTCCTAATTCAATATCCGTTCGGACATTTTACTATATGGTTCGATTTCGGTTCAAGTTTTTTCGACCGGATTCGGGTAAAATACCCAGCCCTAATTACACTGTTTAAATTGATCAAGATACTTCTTTTATGTAATTATGTTAAACTTTGACCTAATAGAAAAAGACGTGTAACTCAATCCACAACTTTTTACTAGACAAACGTTACCCTAAACAGAGAAAGCAGAACGTAAATCATACGCTCTTCTTCTATATTGGTGTGTCAACTCGTCAATCCCACGGCAAACCAGATCATCGACTTGCAAAGCCGCCTTAAAGTCCATCGCCTCACAATTCAACAACTCGAGTATCTTCAAGCACTGCCTCTCAACTGACCTCGCCACCAACTTGGAAGATAACCCGCGTTTGATACCCAAGACAGCGTACCAGTCTGGCTCTCCTGTTACAGTAACATTGTTAGCAGCCGTGAGAAGGATTCTGTAAGGCTCAGGTAGTTCTATTTATAGATGATGTAAGTTTCCTTTTTTAGTTACTGAGAAAAGGAAACTTCTACCCTTTTTTTTTTACCCTTGCCGAGAAAAGGAAATTTATGTTATACCAAACCGGGTAACCCTACTAATTTTAAACCGGTTAATTACAAAACGTATGTGTCTTAACCAATGATATGTCTACACGTGTAATTGTAACTGGTGTTCGTCTCCAATAATAAAAGACCGACAAAGACGAAGAAGGAAAGATTCTTTCTGATTAAATCTTATCGAAAAAATGTTTCTCCGGTCGCAGAAGCTATGGACGTTGGTTCTGATTCTAGCGATTGGATCGCGTGTAACACACTCGCTTCACTTCGATCTACACTCTGGTCGGACAAAGTGTATAGCGGAAGACATCAAGAGCAATTCCATGACTGTCGGAAAGTACAGCGTCGATAACCCTCACGAAGGTCACGATTTGCCTCAGTCTCACAAGATCTCCGTTAAGGTAAAACAGATCCGTCTCATTATTTATTATTTTGGGTGAGATCTGATTTTGGTATGCGTATATGAAGGTAACGTCGAGCTCAGGGAACGCGTACCATCACGCGGATCAAGTGGCGAGTGGGCAATTCGCGTTCTCTGCAATGGAAGCAGGGGATTACATGGCTTGTTTCAGTGCCGTTGATCATAAGCCTGAGGTGACTATTAGCATTGATTTTGACTGGAGGACGGGTGTTCAATCTAAGAGCTGGGCTACTGTTGCTAAGAAGAGCCAAGTCGAAGTAAGTTTCAATTTTTTAATGAGTTTTGAGATCTTGTAATAGCGGAATTGTTTAAGGTTGAGACTATGTGATGGTGTTAGGATAATTAGAACGATGAGTGTTCTTATGCATTTGTGTTTTGTCGTTTTGTGGCAGACTATGGAGTTTGAGGTAAAGAGTCTTCTTGATACTGTGAACTCGATTCATGAAGAGATGTTTTATCTTAGAGAAAGGTAAAGACCTTGTACTTTGGTTGGTGTAATGCTATTGAGATGTAACTTTGATTTGGTGTGTCTTGTCAGGGAAGAGCAAATGCAAGATTTGAATCGGTCTACAAACAATAAGATGGCGTGGTTGAGTTTACTCTCTTTATTCGTCTGCGTAGGAGTGGCAGCAATGCAGTATCTACATTTGAAGACGTTTTTCGAGAAGAAGAAAGTCATCTAAGGTTATAATAGGCCACACAAAACAATCTACTCGTCTTTTGGGTGTTGTATATTAGTTCAATGTCTACTGCAAGCATCTTCTCTTGAGACTTAGAACTTTGATTTTATGTGCCAGTATTGTCCTTCTTTGGAGATGGGTTTAGCTTTTTTTTTTGTTTAGATTTGTTGGTACTTAATGCAGGATAATTTGATGGTTTAAATTATATAAAGTCTGTATTCTCAATTTCAGACAGCAGAGTAAACTTGTCACGTCACATTGAGGGATACGAGTGGAGAGAGAGAGATTTGAGCCATTATAAAGAGGATGGATTATCAATAATCTTATACACAAATGGCTATATAGTATGTTAGTGGGAAAGTTTATATGAAATGATGAGGTTAATTGCGAGAATGAGAGCAACGATCACTGAAGTAATGATCCATTTGTTCCTCTGTAATTCTTCTTGACATGGCCGTTATTAGTGTATATACATACTGTATACGGGTATAGGGTGTTACGATACTCATTCTATATACGGGTATAAATACCCTCATTGTACATGACTTTCATTAATTAATCAAGATACATTTTAAGTTTGTATTACTCTTAATATGGTATCAGAGCGTAACAAACTTTTCCGCCATTAACAGCAAGCTTGATTTCTTGAGTTTCTCAGCTTGAATCTCTCCGATTCAGATCTCATGAGTACTCCGCTTCGTCAATTCCTTGCTGAATCCATCGTATCTTGGTGCTTTCTCGTTTGCGATCTCTTGTTTTTTCTATCCTTCATTGTCTTCATCCCGATTCTTGCGCTGTTTTTCTTTTGAGCTTTCCGATGAGTTCTCCGTCGTCTACGAATCGAACTCCGGTGGATCATTACAACAATCCGTATTATCTCCACAACTCGGATCATGCTGGGATGATTTCTCGTCTCGGATCGTCTTTCTTCGGGATCGGAGTTTCACACATGGCGTAGATCTGTTCGTATGGCGTTGAATGTGCGAAACAAACTCGGATTCATCGACGGTACGATTCCTAAACCTCATGTAGATCATGCTGACTCAGGATCTTGGTCACGTTGCAACGATATGGTTTCTACTTGGTTGATGAATTCTGTTTCGAAAAAGATAGGGTAGAGTTTACTCTTTATGTCAACTGCTGAATTGATTTGGAAGAATTTGATGACAAGATTCAAGCAGGATGATGCTCCCCGAATCTTTGAGATTGAACAAAAGTCGAATAATCTTCAACAAAGTTCTCTTGATGTGAGTACTTACTATACGGAGTTGGTGACGTTATGGGAAGAGTTACAGAACTATGTTGATTTGCCTGTGTGTACTTGTGGGAGTTTGTATTACTCTTAATAGCCGTCAACACCTTCTTACTCTTGTCAATGGCCTCATCCATATACACCTTGAAGTTGCAATCATTAGATGGGAACGTGAAAAGTCATGACCCAGTAAACAGTCTTGGTCTTTATAGGTTGATCCATCGAAGGTCACACAAATCGTATTCCTCCATCCGCAGGGTAAGAAAGTGCTCTCCTTCTTCCAGATCAGACCCCAAAACGCAGCGTTTCGTTCTTCAATCTCATTTTATACGTCAGAAAGGAATATTTGTAGAATATACGAACATGTCGAATTATATGCAGTTCATTGGATTTTATAATAATAGCGATTGCTTTATAGACAGGTGTTGCTAAACCGTTGACTCTACAAAAATACCCTTGAGAGGGGAATCCTACAAAGCGTAAAGATCTCAAGAACACCGAGGGCATTTCGAGTAATTATCAAATAAACAAAATGGGAAGCGAGGGAAGGTCCAAATCTGAACGAAATGTGTTGATAAACATTTTAAATAACGCGTGATAGTCGTGTTCTTGACCGTCCATTTCATTTCATAACATTGATTAAAACTCTTAAAAAAGTCATCTCGTTATTTCGCTTCTGCTTCTCATCATCAATTCATATTGTATATAAAATAAAACTACAATTTGTGGATTTTCAATTTCTGTAATTTCTGCTGCGTTTTGCTCCCATCACTGACTTTGAAGCTGTCAAAAGCGTCTCTGGATTTCGATTTCACGGTCGTCTCAGACGCAATCTCAGGTTTGATCCTCCTCCCTTCTCGTACGATTTAAATCAGATTGTTTTAGTTCTTTAGTAGTATTGATTTCGCGTCACTAATTACGAATTTTATCCCTGATTAGACAAAGGATAAAAAAAAAAAAAAGTAGAATCTGAGCTTATGTACCCTTTTAGCCACGTGTGTACTCTTTTTTGGTAGGATTAATATTGATCAAAACTTCAACAGTTTATGAGTTGGTCTAATGATTAGTTTATATTAGTGATTCAGTTTGAATCTCTGGGCTTCTCATTTGATTTTAATGATGCAGTTTCTCTGAGACAATTTGAAATCTGACCTGAAAAAAAGGATGCTGGTGTCTGCACTTCTTATGTCCGTTGGGATAAACTCATGCCTCTGTGTACTGCTCTTCATACTCTACTCTATCCTGAGGAAACAGCCACACAACTATGAAGTTTTTTTACCACGCCGGCTCGTGGCAGGGACCTCTAAAAGAAGGCGTAACAAAGTCGCAAGGTACATTCCTTCTGTGCGTTGGATTTGGAAAGCATGGAGGCCTTCTGAAAAAGAACTCATGGAATCTTCTGGTTTGGACGGCGTTGTGTTTATGAGAATGATTACTTTCAGGTAACTCTTTAACTTTGTATTCTCTAGTATTGTATTGTTATATATAATTCATTGGTAGTGATGATGATCTCGTTATCTGCAGTTTGAAAGTGTTCTTGTTTGCTGGGATCATTGGGGTTTTTGTTATTTTGCCTGTGAATGTCTTCGGAGATCAACTTACACAGATTAACTATGCTGACTGGTCTGCCAATTCCTTGGATATTTTTTCTGTTGTTAACCTCAAAACACGCTCCCCATGGTAACCCTCGAAAACTCTTTTATAGTGTTATTATTATAGCTCGGTTAATGCAGCTAAGGTTTCAACTCATGTCAAGAACTATGTGCAGAAATAAAAAACAATAACAGTTCCCAAAAATGTCACTAGGTTTCTTGCAATTAATAATCTTTTGTTTGGTTGCTTGCAGGCTATGGGTTCACTTTGGAGCTATATATCTTGTTACTGCTTTTGTCTGTTGTCTTCTTTATTTGGTAAGAGAGCTCCTTTCTGTTTAATGAATACCAAAGTTCTCCTATTGATGATTCTTTAGAAGATTGTCACTACAATGTTTTTTCTTTGACAGGAATTCAGATATATTGGCTTGAAAAGGATTGAGCATTTCCATTCATCCAAACCTCAGCCACAACAGTTCACCATCTTGGTTCGTAATATCCCTTCTTCTGATGGAACCACTGTGAGCGACACTGTTGACAGGTTCTTTAGAGAAAATCATTTCTCTACCTACCTGTCTCATGTGGTTATCCATCGAACTAGTAAACTTCGAAGCATCGTTGTAAGTCCTGAAACACCTAATTTGCCTACTTCCATTACACAGTATATCTTTGTATCTGCTAGCTACGGTGGCCTGTGTTACAACCTTATCTCTTGCATACGCTTCTTCTTTACTCTGGCTCTTCCAGGATCATGCCAAGAAGTTATATAAAAAAGTTCATCACAAGAAACAAGATCCTCAGCGGGTTAAAAAGACTCCAATGAGATTCTTCAGTCGCAAGGACACTCCTGAGGGTCACTATGAGAAAGTATTACAGGAACTGGAACACAACATACGTTTGGGGCAAGCTGAAGTTTCATCTCCTGGAAAAGTATGCCTTAGATAGTTTCCTTGGATTTGGAATCAAGATATTAGTCCTTGATTATTTACATATTCCTCTCATGGTGTAGGAAGTTCGAGCTGCTTTTGTATCATTCAAGTCTCGTTACGGTGCTGCAATGGCACTCCACATGCCACAATCAGCCAACCCCACTTACTGGCTCACAGAACCAGCACCAGAACCTCACGATGTCCACTGGCCTTTCTTCTCTGCATCATTTATGCAGAAATGGCTTTCTAAGATTGTGATTGCCTTCGCTTGTCTCATCCTTACTACCTTGTTTCTTGTTCCAGTCGTACTTGTCCAAGGTCTCACCAACCTGTCTGCACTAGAATACTTCTTCCCATTCTTGACATTGATCCTATCAATGTACGTCAAATGTTTCCATTCCCATTATATTTAAAAATACTTTAAGCTCACTGTGCTGAACGTTAATCATCTTCTGTTTCAGGAAAATTGTAAGTCAGATCATAACTGGGTACCTTCCAAGTCTTATACTTCAGAACTCTCTGAAAGTCGTACCACCCATCATGGAGTTTCTCTCTTCTTTCCAAGGGCACATTTGCCATAGCGACATACAAAAGAGTGCTTGCAACAAGGTGATCTGGTTCACTATATGGAATGTGTTCTTTGCAACTGTCTTCTCTGGCTCAGCCTTCTACAAGCTCTCTGTAATTCTTGATCCAAAGGAAATTCTTTTCAAGTTGGCTGTTGCTGTTCCAGCTCAGGTTAAAAAAAAAAAAACATTTCCCAACATCTATTGGAACACACAATGGTCACAACTTCATTTTTACATTATATTGTTGCAGGCATCATTTTTCATCGCCTATGTGGTGACAACAGGATGGACAGATACTCTTACTGAACTCTTCCGTGTAGTTCCATTCATGGTCAGTTACGTAAAGAGATCACTCGAACCAACAGAAGAAGAATTTGAAGTCCCGCCAATGCGCTACCACAGAGACACCCCAAGGGTTCTCTTCTTTGGGCTACTTGGGATTACCTACTTCTTCTTAGCTCCGTTGATTCTCCCTTTCATCTTTTTGTACTTTATCCTTGCATATATCATCTACCGAAACCAGGTATGTATAAACACACATCTTATACTCCTTTTTAGATTCCTCCTTCCATTAGAATTAACACTGGATGACGTTTCTTTGGGATGCAGTTCATAAACGTGTACGAACCAAAGTATGAAACAGGAGGGATGTTTTGGCCAATGATACACTATACGATGATATTCTCTCTTGTACTCATGCACGGTATCGCAATTGGTCTATTTGCACTCAAGAAGATGGAACTAGCTACATACTTGCTTATCCCTCTTCCTGTTATCACTCTTCTGTTCAACGAGTTCTGTCGTAAACGCTTCATGCCTATATTCACCGCCTATCCCGCCGAGGTATGAATCCAAAATCTCCTTATTGGGATTACAGAAACGTAAATGGAATTAACTCTGTGTGTATGCGTGTTGTGTGGCTCTTCAGGTATTGACAAAGAGAGACAGGGAAGATCAAAATGATCCAAGAATGGATGAGTTTTACCATAACTTGGTAAGTGCGTACCAAGATCCAGCTCTGCGCCCACTTCTTTTCTCAGGAAGCAGAAACGATAGCCTCACTAGTCCTCTTCTCTCTTCGACTTCAAGTGAGGTTTGATTCTCTTCTATCCATATAGCTTGCCTTTGTACACACTTGTATAGACTTTATACCTCAAAACTTTAGTGATTTATACCGAAACTCGATATCAATTTATTTTAATGATTTTATTTGTAAATCTTTACAAAACCAATCATGTGATTTTGTAGTTTATTTTAATGATTTTGTTTGCGAGTTGTCGCACAATAAGAAAAGGGGAAAGACAACATGAAAATGTAATTCTTTTGGTTATATACTTTCTAACACACTGAGAATGTCTATGAGAATACCCGAGTTCATCAAGTTTGTCATCTTCAATCAGAACAATCAAACTCGGAAGACTGCTATTGTTTAAACAAAACAATGGTGGCATCTTGTAGGACGTAGACAGTCACTATCTTGAGAATCAAGAATGTAATGAAACACACTGATCATGTCTCTTAAGAGCTCTTGGCAGACACTGTAAGAATTTGACATAACATATTAATTGTGCAACTTGACATTCTTTTCATGATTAAAAAAACACAAGATTTTTCCTTACAAAACAAGAAATGAAAGTTCTGGTCAATCCCTAAAAAGATCATGTTCAAACTGTTCTCATTACCTTACAAAAAAAAAATATCTTCAGAAACCACAACTCTTCCTGATGCCTTCTCCTAAGAGCTATTGGCAGACACGTTAAGAGCCCCTTTAAACATTTGTCTAAGAATGTTTGACTTTTCTTGATCGATCCATTTGAATGTAACCACACCATTATATCAAAGAATGCATCTTAAACCCTTAAAAGCTCAAAACTTATTTATACTTTTTCATCTTGATTTGTGGATGTTTCTAGAAGGAACCTGATCACTGTCTTCTCCACCAGATGCATCGTATCCATCACTTGTAGACCTTGACAATGGCATCATCATCATCATTGACTGCTCTTGTTGTTGTCCTCTCTGTTGACTCATCAAACCAACAGCTGAAGAAAACCCATTGAGCTGCGCTGAATCCTCTGCCTCAGATGAAACTCTAAAAGGTTGAATGTCATGCGAGTCTAAGCTGCTCTCTGGTGAAGATGTTACCATAACACCACCACCTGATCCAGACATTGCACGGCTTGTCTGAAAGGCGCTTCTTGCTTCTAGCTGAAGAGGACCTAGCCCTGAGCTAGTTGATGTCTCCATAGCTGCTCTTGTCTGAACATTCATTAACGGTTCTAAAGGCAACTCTGCTGGTAACCGTATGCGTTTAGATTGCCTTCGCTGGTGCTTCCCGTTACTATTATTAACAGCTTCAAATTTTGCTGGAAACTTTCTACGGCCGCTGCTTCCGAAGCTGCTGCTTGCTTCTAACCCAACAAAGGGGTTTTCCCTCCTCGCCACGGGTTTGATTATTTTGGACTTCTTTCTTGCTTCTGCTGCTGCCTTTGAGACTTCTTCTGCGTTGAGGCGAGCTAGTGTCCATGGACTGATCTTAACAGGTTGGTTCTTCTTCTTCACGCGTTCTTCAACCACTGACTTCTTCCCATATGAACTTACAGACGCATTCTCTGGAGGTACTACATCAAACTGCATACATAAAGACATTAGAGCAAATTATACTACACAAGGTACAAGAAATGTTGGTGAAGAAGCAAGTTACCTGATCTTCAAGAAACAAACGTGGTGGGGTGCACCAAGCTCCGCGATGAAATGTATTGAAGGAGCTGGCACTGCTTAGTCCAGTGAAGGAGCTGATCATTGACATTTGAGGGCTTTGTTGACCTCCACCAGCCTCTAGCTCTTGCTCTTGTTCCCTGAGTGCAACTATGTAGTCGTATGTACTGATTCCCTGTTTCAGAAATTCATTTTATCAAGTCTGATAACTAAGAGAGCAAGTCTTGAGAAACAACCTTTTTAATGAGAAGAATGTGGAAAAAGAAAAGCTGAGCAAGCGGTAGCGTAGCAAGCATTGCTAATAGAGTACAAACTGCCTGCGAGAGAAAGAAACCTTCATATCTTTGCAGCATTAAGGAGTCAATAGGAGAAGGATCAGTTGTAAAAGAAGATAACTTACAACGACAATAACAAATGGAACTAGCGAGAAGCTGCTTCCAAGCTTTAAGGAAATCTCTGCACTAAACTGGTTCTTGCGGAGTACACATAATACCAGCACAAATATCCCAGTTGACCATTGCATTATGAGCTGCAAGATCAATCCCCAATGGGAAGTACAAACAGAGATTAGCTGAATAAAAACTTCATGGAGTCATGAAAGATCAGCCCAAGCTTACCAAGAAAATAGCTGATATCATGAGGCTAAAGAACTTCCGGTAATTCCGCTTGCCAATGCAGTTATTTAGCCACTACACACACAAGTTCATAAGCACAAGAAGATAAGAAAAGTAAATAAGAAAGAAAGGTAAGAAAACTTCAGACAAATGCTTTCAATACCCTGCAGTGATGATCAAAACGGTCCACACACTTGTCACAAACTCTGCAATGCTTGCTGTATTTGAAGACCTGGAAAAAGGACATACAATATCCAGAACGATTAGTCCTGAGAATATCCAAAGCTTATACAACAAGTTTGTGGTTTCAAATGTTTCTCGAACCTCAACTTCACACAGACTGCAATAAAACATCCCATCCTCACTCATCTGCTGCTCAGAAGACTCATCTCTTCCACTGCAACAACCACAAATCAATGCACAAGGGGAGCAAAGCACACGCAGGAGACAAGATCTTTGTGATGACTCCAATTTATTGTTAGTTCCATTTTCTTGATCCTGTACACATGTGCTGTCATGAGACTTAGCACCACCACCTATAGCTGATCCACAACTATCTTTTGTGCCCTTTGATTGAGGAAACTTCCCGTTTTCAGGAACTTTCAGGTACTTCTTTGACCGGAAAACTCCACGGTCAGCAGGATCTGAAGCCGCACACCATATATACAGTCCAACCACACACGTAATCTATCAAGAAAATGGCACTGACTTAATCTCTTAGCAAATAACAACCCATCAATGTTTACATAAGGGCTAAAAATAAGATTAATGTAATGCTGATACCACACTGTATACAGAGGATTTAACTTTAATGACAGACAAAAGAAGGTAAAATAATTGAATCAGTTGCTACTACTGTAATCTATCATATAGCTGATCAAGTTAAAAGAAGAAATGTGAGATGGATGTTTCAACCATAGACTTAAAACTGGCTTAGAATCAAGAAGTGTCTAGAGCTAACTTTTACCACTTTTATGAATAAGGTACGGCATCTAAGCTATTGATAGGACTAGATCAGGATCTAGCTAGAAGGAATCTAAAATCCAATTTTCCTAATTAGCTATAAACAACAAACTTCACAAGACATCTTAGATTGTAACCAATGGTCTATATGTTACTTCCCTGAAATAGAAAGGCAGCAGAATAGATACAACACATAAAAGGACAACAAGTACACACAACTTTGATCCTTGAATGTAAAATGATAGCAGATTTGATTTCAGAAAAACAGATTAAGCTTTACCAGAGGAGTGTAAATGCCCATGGCAATGTACTGATGAATCTTACTCCCAACGAATGGAGCAAAGAAGACGTAGAAAGCAAACCCTAAAGCCAAGAACACAGCAACAGCCACCACCTAACAAGAAAGTTTCAAACTTTCACCTCAATAATCAAAACCCACCAAGAAAAATTCAGTTAGAATAAGAAAGAGTTTGAAGATTTGGAGTAACCTGGAGAGGATGGTAAGGAAGTTGCCATCCATGTTTCCTCATTTTCCCTCTAGAATGCTGCAAAATCCAGATGTAGATCGAAGTGAGCTCAAGTCAAATCAACAGAAAAACTTTCCCTTTCTCAACTCATCTTCTCCGAAAAGCCAACATTTTTCTTCTCTCACTCTCTCTCTCTAAAGTAAGAAGAAGAGTAGAGAGGAAGACATTTGACCACTGGGTGAAAAAGTAAATACTATCAAATAGAAACAAAAAGAAATAAAGTAGCAATCTTTGTTTGTGGTTTCTCTGATTCTCTCTGTTCCTTCTGTGTAAAGCTTTGAGCTTTGGTGCAGAGATCTAAAGAACCCACCACCATAGAAAGAGAGAGAGTGTATGAGGGAAAAAGAGTTATAATTAAGAGATGGAAAAGCAGTTACCTTTTCTCCAAGGCCAAATCATGTGTCACAGTCCTGTTGCTGGCAAATCCAGTAACACTTGTTTTTTTCTTTCTTCTTTTGTTATATATTAACTCATCACTCTCTCTCTCTTCACTTCCCCTGTTTTTTTCTTTATTTTTTTTACTTTGTACCCACTGATTTTCATCTTTTATGCTTTTTAGAGCATCTCCAACCCCACTCCATAATTTACTGCAAAATGGAGTGGGAAATGGAGTGATGAAGAAACAAAAAAGTGGTTACTCCAAATATGGAGTAATGAGATTTTTGTTTCTTCATTACTCCATTCTCCACTCCATTTTAGAGTAAAATATGGAGTGGGGTTGGAGATGCTCTTACCCCAGTACTTTGTAGTGTGATAAAAATTAGCATGATTGTTGATTAGGTAAAGCCTAATGTTTGACATAAACATGTTTCAATCTAAATTATTACAAATGTGTCTTTGTGTATGTAATTACTGAAGGTGTCACATTCAATGTTTGTACCCAAAAGACTTTAGTAACGTCTTAAATGTTTGTCTTCCAAACTGGTAGCTACTCTGCCCACTTTACAGTGGTTACAAGAATCAAAACTGAGTTGGTGAAATTTTCAACGAGAAAGAAGTAAACTTATAATTAGACATGTAAATGGAGGAATATTATTTAAGTAGCTCCCATTTTGTTCATATTAGAGGCCTGATTAAATGGAGAGTGACAGAACATAGCAACCAAGAAAGCGACGGTCGGGTGAAGATAAACGACATGGAATATATTTTAGTTATATTATTTTCAATTTATGGATTTTTTGTTTAAATTTTGAAAGTTTGGCAGCTCGTATAGTATGTCTCTTCTTATGGCATTCTCTTGTCAGAAAACAATGGAAATCTTATGTAAAAAAAAAAGAAGAGACAACACTTTTATAATTGGTTACCTTTTTCATGCTACTTCTCTTAAAAAGGGGCTTATGGATCGAAAGCCAATGTCTTACAATGTCTATAAGAAAATTAAAAATTAATATACGTCGACTTTGCATGCAGATAAGGAGATTTTAGGTTTCTCTGTTTTTTTTTTCTTATTAGGAGAAAAATATAAAGGCTTTTTCTTAAAGAAGTGGTATTTTTTATTTTAGTTTCAGTAATTCGAATAACACATGTTTCGAACCAGTTTCTGACATATCCCAAGAAATAACCGCCGAAGTCATTACCATATTGTTATAGATTCGTCTTTTTACAAAGAAATATTATATCGATTTTGTATTTGCATAGTGGTATAAATTATAATTTAATTTAACGCGAAAGATGAAGTTTAATTTGAGTATTTTTGTTTTAAACTATTAAGTTATTTTAGAAAACTTAAAAGATCATTAAAAAGGGACAAAAGGTGTGTGGTGTGGGTGAAGAGTAAATGTGAAGCATTAAATTCTATGGACCTCTTTGCGTATGTCGTTTTCCTTGTTCATATTCTTTTTTTTCTTGGTAGAAGGGATCATAATTTAATAGTTCATCGAAGAAAGAAAGAACATAATGAAGGTAGACAAGCATTCTTTTAAAAATCCTAAAAACGTAACTATTATTATAATAATACAAATACTTAAAATAAATAAGCTACTCCCGCCGAATACGGATAATCATTTTATCGAGATATCCGGTCGCAACCAAAATTCAACGATTTCTTAAACTATACAGACTTATTTTAACTTTAACTGGAGTATGTTCTATGCTAAATCCTAAATTACTTTTTAAACTATAGCCCAAAACTATATGATATATCTCTATCAATTACAATGTTTCAAGCGACTAAAGAAAAAGCCACCGATATATAGCAGTTATCATGTCATTATAGTTGGCAGATCTTGATTGTGTTGGAAAATCAACCCTTCTTGAAAAGGATTTTCTCTTAAAAAGATTTTCAATATTCTTTATCCAGTCGAGTAATCACAGCATGATGTCTTGCAGAGTAAAATTTTAAATCAATATAATGTTAGAAATTCGTTCAGAATTTCAACTTATACAAATTTTCATTTTTGTTGTTTTCTTACACCTATTTAGTTTTGTTGAAAAAAAATCATCTATTTAATTTCAGAAATTTCTACGGATAAAGCTTTATGATATCATTATTGCAGGTTTTTAGAATGTATTTATTAAGAGAATATAAGAAAGTGTTTCTTAACTTTTAATTAAAAATTTAAGAAATTATTTTTTAAAATACTAATTTACAAAATAGTTTCTTATATTTTTTCTAGAATCCCGCCATTAAAAAATATGCAATAATGATTTTCTTATCTTCTGGAGTGTGTTAGGTTCGGCTCTTATCAATTACAAGAAATATTTTTT